TTTTTTTTTGACTTTGTGCCTGAAGGGCAGGACTAGGCCTTATTTTATTGCCCTTAGTGGCATCTTTGAAGAAGAAAAGATTTTAGTAGGTAGATAAGCAGGCAATAGAATGAGAGTAATTTGCTTTCATCTTAATCCTAGAGATTGAAAGCAGTTGTGCATCTCCTATAGAGGCTTGGAAGGTCAAAAGTGAGTGAGTGACCTCATATTGAGGCTTGTTTCCCAAAGGATCACCATGCTTCAGAAGCAAATGTGCATCCTAAATGACATTGTAACTGCAGATTTCTTTTTAAGATTTTATTTTTAAGTAATCTCTACACCCATGATGGGGCTCAAATTTACAAACGAGAAGAGTCACGTGCTCTACTGACAGGGCCAGCCAGGTTCTCGGACTGCAGGTTTTTCTGTAATATTTAGTATGTTACATAGCAGTCCAAAAATCAGATAGAGATTCTTCTGCCTAACTGATGGTTGGTAGCATCTCTGGGGTGTTGCTTCTTTATCCCAATGGTTGATTTTCAGTGTGTGTTTATAAATGAGGCAAAAGAATAGTTTACCATAGAGGCTCTGAGCTAGATTGGTGGAGTTTGAGTCCCAGCCTCTTCTTCACTTACCTGGTATCAAACCCTGTATAAGTTGCTTTCTTTGCTAGTTTCCTCATTTATTAAATGGATATAAGAAGAGTATCTACCTCAGATTTGTGAGGATTAAATAAAATAGTACGTTTCCAAGGTAGGTGTTTATAAGGACTGGCTTGTAATAGGCTTAACTGTTACCTTCGTGATAAAGTTACTTTAATGTAAGTTGACACAGAGAAAATGTGACTAAATGTTTGAAAAGAAAAAGTATCTCTCTCAGAGTTTTTATTAACTCTAAGAATAGTGTGAGAATGGTATGGATTGAGCATGACTATGTTAAGATCAGTTGTTTAATATGTAGATCGAATTCTTGTTAACATTTCATAAATTTCTATAAAATCACAAACCAGTTTAACTCGTTTAGCTGTAAATGAATAATTGAGTATTTGCTAATAATACCACAGTTCTGTTCCTACTACACTGGGAACATTGGTGAATTATGGTTAGATCTAACTCTGGGCAACAGGAGGACTTTGTCCAAGTTCACCTTGTAAGCGACAGAGCTAGGACTTGAACCTTTTATGTGTCTGAATCCAGAGCATACGTTCTCTACCTCTATGCCTTACTGCTTCCGGGAGATAGGCACTATGAGCTTTGTTTCTTGTGTGCTGGGCTGGCTTTTATCCTTACAGCTCCATCCTCTAATTCTGTATCACAGGACTTCAGGTTTAACGAGGCTCACAGCGGCTGGCCCCGTTCCCTCCCCTCCTCTGCTTCTTTACAGGCACTTGAATATACTCAAGTGGTACACTTGCCACAGGTAGCCCCCGACCCTGTGAGGGCCAAGTGAAGCCTCTAATCCAGGGGACTTTGTTATTCTCACTAGGAGTCATAAGGTGGACTCGAGGCTGCATAGTATTGTTAGTATTCAGGCCCTTTAAGAGTGACATTAGGGGGGAAAAAAGGAAACAAAAATCAGATTTGTTTTCAACTTCTTATAAAAAGTGAAGCTTATCACACTTCATACTTCCTGGACTCAGCTGTTATAGTTTTAATAAACAGTACTTTTACTAATAATTGGCATTATATTTATGGTCACTTAAATTTTGGCTAACTCTTTTTGTTTTTAATAAATGTGCATGGAATTTGAAGTTGCAAAATAGAGATTAATGTTCGTTGTCTTTTTTTTTTTTTTAAGCCTCCAGTCAGTGGACTTCGAAGCTGTGGCAATCACAGTGAAAGAGCTAGTTCGGTATGCCCTCAGTATAAGTCCAAACAACCATTCCTGGTTAATTATTCAGGCAGACATTTATTTTGGTAAGTGAGATGTATGGTTCTTTTGCATTTTGTTTTCGTAGCACTTTTAGAAGTGAAAATAAATACATATTTTTCCTAATAGTTATTAAACTGGTCTTGTTTTTGATGTCTATTCTTCCTAGATACATTGCTATACATTCATTTTCTGTATTGTGCCTTTGGTTCAGATACTTCGAATTTTTATGTTGACTACGTTTTTTTTTTTAAGTTTATTTATTTTGAGAGAGTGTGTGTGTGTGAGTGGGGAAGGGGCAGGGCAGAGAGAGAGGGGGCAAGAGAGAATTCACGCAGGCTCCACACTCAGTGCAGAGCCCAACACGGGGCTTGTTTCCACGAACCATGAGATGATGACCTGAGCCAAAATAGTCGAATGCTCCACCGACTGAGCCACCTAGGTGCCCCTGATAATTGCCAATTTTAATGCTCATTTTCATCCTGACCCTCCGAAGAATTTGCTAAGTTTGACAAGAAATCTGTGCTAAATTTTTGGCTCATCAGTTTTAGAAAGCAAGGAATATATTACTTCTTTTAAAGTAGTTTTAAAAAATGTGGTTTTTCTGTGTTGTCCCAGATAAGTGTTATCCCTAGCCCTGTGGTTTGAATCTGCTTTTGTCAACTCATGAAGTAATCATACCCTGCTCTTCACAAAAGAGTCCATGTTTGTCTTTCCGGCTGTTATGTCTAACGTTAGGTCATTCTCTATTATTTTCTGCTTCAGCAACAAACCAGTATTCGGCAGCTCTTCACTATTACCTACAGGCAGGAGCCGTGTGTTCTGATTTCTTCAATAAGGCTGTGCCTCCTGATGTTTATACAGACCAGGTAAGTTGTCTCATGGGCTCTCTTTCTTGTCTACCTTTACATGTTCCTTTTTCCCAGCCCCTTTTGGGTGAGCTGATTCATTTCCATATATGTGGTAAATTGAATGCTCTAGACCTGATTGCTCTCCATATTTCCAGTGCCCATAGATCATTGCTGCTTTGATTTCTCAAAACACCTAAAACTCAACCTGAGTTGAGTCCAAAACTGATTTCAGCATTTTACTTTACAGTCTCCCTCCTGATGCCCTTTTCTCACATACATGAAAACACACGCACACGCACACACACACACACGCCAAAATACCAAACGCCTTGTTCAGCCATTTAAGTTGACCAAGCCCAAATCCTCAGTATCCTCTTTTCTTTATTGATGGCTCCCACTGAAATCCATTCAGCCTTTAAGACATAGTGATTTTATCTCCTAAATCTCAAATTTATTTCATTTTCTTTTATACGTGTCGCTCTTTCCTGTTTTATGCCATCAATATCAGAATCTATTAAATGGTAGATTATAATACGTGGCTTTTAAATTAGATCTTAAATATTTTAGTAATGTGTTATTTTTAATTAAAAATTCTATTTTTCAGCGCATTTTTAGATTCACAGCAAAATTGAGCAAAAAGCGGAGTTTTCTATACCTGCTGTTCCCACATACGCACAATTTTCGCCACTGTTGCCATTCCACATCAGAGCAGTACATTGGTTACAACTGGTGTTAACTAGTTTTTGAAAATAATCAGGATTTGTTTTTGTAGGTAATAAAACGAATGATAAAATGCTGTTCTTTGCTGAATTGCCACACACAGGTTAGTTTATGATATGTTGGTTTATTTTCATGTATATTGGAATTTGCAGTAAATATAAAGCATTGGACTGGGAAATCGCCTTTATTTTCTTTACCATAATTGCTTAAGTTTACGGTATTTAAGAATTTGGCATATTAAATTTTTTTTTTTTTTAGTTTTTTAATTTATTTTGAGAGAGAAGCAGTGTGAGTAGGGGAGGGGCAGAGAGAATCCCAAGCCGCCTCCACACTGTCAGCCCAGAGCCCAGTGTGGGGCTCAAATTTATGAAACCATGAGATCATGACCAGAGAGCCAAAACCAAGAGTCGGATGCTTAACCAACAGAGCCACCCAGGCACCCCTTAATTTTTTTTCTAGGAAATTTTAACTAAAATGAAAGTATGAATTAGAAAACATTGGTCTTAGAACCTTCTAAATGGAAAAGAAGCATTTTTAAGGTGTGTGGGGTTTTTTTTTAATATTTAAGAGTCGATATGCATGTGAGTCACTAGGGAAATACAGATCAGCACCACATGAGGTACCACTTCACACTTGATGGAATGGCTGTAATTGAAAGACAGGCGCCTTGGTGGCTCAGTCAGTTAAGTATCCAACTCTTGATCTCAGCTCACGTCATGATACCATGGCTCGTGGGTTCAAGCCCCATGTCGCGCTCTGTGCTGATGGCACAGAGCCGGCTTGGGATTCTGTCTCTCCCTCTGCCCCTCCCCCACTCGTGCAGCCACGCTCTCTCTCTCTCTGAAGATAAACTTTAAAAAAATAGTAACAGTATTGGTGAAGGTGTGGAGAAATTGTAACCTTCATACGTTGCTGGTAGGAATATAAAATGGCATGACCTGCCAAACAATTTGGCAGTTCCTCAAAAATTTAAGCATAAAATTACCATGTGACATAGACCTAACAGTTCCATCCCTAGGTTTGTAACTAAGAAAATTGAAAACATGTCCACAGAAAAATTTGCACACAAATGTTCACAGTAGTGTTACTCATCTTTTTTTTTTTTTTTTTTT